GCTCTCACCTCCATGTCTGTTTTACTTCCCGAATCCCTCATAACTCAAAACTCCTGGCACTCGTGTTTCAGATATTGGCTTTTCTGGCCCCCAGGGCAGACGCTACCCCCTCACGGCCCCTGCAGCCCACAGCACAGAGCCCTGTCTTCCTACAGCTGGGTTTCCAGGCTCTAGAGGTCTGTGCCCTGCTGACTGCTCCTGCCTCCCTCCCCAGAAGCAGCCAAGACAGGGCTTGCTGAGAAGGGAACACACTTCCAGGGAGGAAGAGATTTATTTTCTTTTTTCTTTTTTAGTAAGTCATTCTCCTTCCTGGCACCTGATCCTTCCCCCTGCTCCCTGTCTCTGCAATCCAATTCTACTCCCTCTGCACCCCACCAACCACACTGCTTTGTAATTCTTGGGGCACCGCAGGCCAGCTGAACAAGATGCACACAGCTTCAGAACAATGGGGTTTCAGCACCATGGAGAGCTGCCCTGGGGTCTGCCTTGGCCTCTGAGGCTTCCTGTGTCCTCAGCACTCACTGTGAACTCTGCCGCCCCACCAGGCACTCTCCTTTCTTCTCTTTAAAAACTACCCCCTTGCCCTGTCAACATCAACTGAGACGTCACCCCCTCCTGGAGGTCCTCCCATCCTCACCACACCACCCTACCAACTGTGTCACATTAATGCTTCGTCCCTTTCCACAGGACACCAGAGCTGTCACTCATCCTCTACAGACAGTTCAGTGCTGGGGTAGGGGGAGAACAGCTAAGCCACTGCTTGGGTGCCTTCACCCTATTCAAGTCCTGGCTCCACTTGTGTCAGCTTCCTGCCACGGTGCACCCTGACGCAGGTGGCCAAGAGCTGGGGCCCCTGCCACCCATATGGGAGACCCAGATTGAGTTCTGGGCTCCTGACTTCTGCCTGGCCCAGCCATGGCTGCTGCTGGCATTTGGGGGTAGATAGAAGTTCTGTCTCTCTCTGTTCATATGTGTGTCTGCCTTTGAATAAAAGAAGTAAATAACATTTTTTTAAAAAGCATTTTTCAGTGTGCTCCTCATACCAACAACTCCTCCAGAGCCTGAGGGCAGAAGGGAGAATGTGTCTGAAAGACTGCTTGTCCTCTGGGCACTTATACTCTTGGAGAAGTAGACAGAAAACAAAATGGGCTGGCGTTGTGCCCGGCATCCCACGTCAGGGTGCAGGTCTTGTCTTGGCTGTGCTGCTTCTTACCCAGCTCCCTGATGATGCGCCTGGGAATGCAGCAGATGACGACCCAAGTACTGGGGTCCCCGCACCCACATGGGAGACCCGGATGGAGTTTCTGGGTCCTGGCTTCAGCCTGGCCCAGCCCATGTGAGGAGTGAACCTGTGGATGAAAGATCTCTCTCTCTCTCTCTCTCTCTCTCTGTGTGTGTGTCTCATGCTCTTTCAAACAAAATAAAAATAAACCTTAAAAAGACAGATGACAATAGCAATAAGTGCTAGGAAAAAGCATAGAAGACCGGATGTGATGGACAACACAGCGGGGCTGGGCAACAGCAGGTGAACAAGGGAAGCCTGAGGCTTGGGAGAGCAGGGAGAGAAACGCGCAGGCAAGAGAGAAGGACAAGGCCTCGGGCGAGGCCGAGTGAGACCCAGAGAGACCAGTGCAGTGATGCGGGGTGTCCCTGGGTTGGGAGCGAGGTCACAGCCCGGCCGCAGAAGCCCTTGTGGGCAGCCTGGAGCCCTGCACAGGGGCTGGGGCAGGGACACCTGCTGAGGGGTCAGAGCAGGGGTGTGGCCAGCTCTGACCGGAGTGGCTGGCTGACTGCACCTGGGCTTTCACGGAGGGCCGAGGACAGGCTCTGGGATGGCGGGAGTTCTGCGACTGAACGAATAAGCAGGTGCACGCATCCTATTGGAGGATCAGGGGGGAAATGGGGCATGCACGGCGGGCCTCCTACTCCAAAAAAAGAAAATCAATGCCGCTCTAGCTTCTCCCCACTCCACCCAGCCATCATCTGCTTCCATGCATTCCGCCGCTGGCGTCCCTCCCAGCTGCCCGGTCACAATGTCCTCGCGTCTGCAGCCCCGGCTCAGACCCTATCCGCCACTGCCCGAACCTCAGCATAAGCTGCCCTTCCGTTTATCCATTTCCAGTCTCCTTCCCTCTAGTCCATCCCCCACACAGACCCCTGAGGGATGTGTAAAGACTTACGTATTTATTTGAAAGGCAGAATGAGAGAGAGAGAGAGAGAGAGAGAGAGAGAGAGAGAGAGATCTTCCACCTGTTGGTTCACTCCCCCAAATTCCCTTAACAGCCAGGGCTGGGCCAGGCTGAAGCCGGGAGCCAGGATCTCCATCCTGACCTCCCACGTGGGTGGCAGGGAGCAATGTGGGCCATCACTGCTGTGTCCCAGGTGCATTAGCAGGAGCTGGGTTGGAAGCAGGGAGGGAGTGGCTGGAACTTGAACCCAGCACTCCAATACAGGAAGCAGGCATTGGAACAGGCAGCCTAACCTGCTGGCCACGAAGCCTGCCCTTCAGGAGGGATGCTTTGAACACCCAGGTGTGCCTCTCCCTCTCTCAGCTTTCCCCAAACTGGATGCCCACCACCACCACCAGCGACCGGACCTCCAACAACAACTGCTCTCTCTCCCAGGGCCTTGCTTTCCCTACTGGGAAAATGAGGCAGTTGGAGCAGACCCTTCCACTCCAAGGTCTAAGGTTTCCCGACCTCCTAACTTAGGGGGCCAGCTTTGAGGCGCAGCAGGTTGCACAGCCACCTGTGCTCCTGTCCCGGCTGCTCCACCACTGATCCAGCTCTGTGCTAATGCACCTGGGAAAGCAGCAGAGGAGGCCTGAGTGCTTGGCCTTCTGCACCCACAGGGGAGACCCGGATGGAGCTCCAGGTTCCTGGCTTCCGCCTGGCCCAGCCCTGGCCGTTGCAGACATTTGGGGAGTGAACCTGTGGATAGAAGATCTCTCTCCCTTTCTTTGCCTTTTAAGTAAATAAAAGAAATTAAAAAAATGGCCCCACAAAGGAAGGCGTGGGCTCCCCATGGGCAGTGACGATGGTAGGATTCGAACCCAGGCCTCTCTAGGTTCACAGCCTGTGCCCCAGGAGCTTGAGAGCACACAGTGGGTGCCTGGGGGTGCACTGTTGCTATCAGGCGCTGGGGTTCACTCTCTGTCCCAGACGTCTCTGTCCTTCCATCATCCTTTCTGACCTTGGCACCCTTTGTCTGCCGTCCAGCCCTGACTGTGCCCCCGCCCTCAGCTCGCCCGTGGGCAGTCAGATCCTGACGCGGCTTTGAGCGCAAGCTGGGTTTGGAATGAGAACAGAAGGGGTCCCCCCAAAAAACGCACGGCAGATGCACATCATGAGAAAACTACGCTTGGCGTTTCACTCCCTTGCGGCACGATCAACTTGTCTTTGAATTCCACTTCTCCAGGCTTCCGGTACTTTCCATGCTGCCCTGGCCCTGCCACGGACCATGTACAGCGCTGCCACGCACCGTGATCAAAAGGACTTTCCTTACGATGTTTGGGGCAGGTTGAATAAAACCCCCACGCTGCCTACTCCCGCCCCACTTTCTCTCTCTAGGCCACTACTTTCTGACACTCCGGGAGCGTGTCTTATTTTAGCTCAGTGTCTGACTCCACACACTGCCATGGGAGTCTACACAGAGGCTGCACCCTGGTTTCCTTGGAAAAGGTCTCGGAGGGTTAGGGAGAAGGCGTGGGGAGGCTGAGCCTGGAGAAAGCCGGGCCAGGAGCAGGGGGGAGGCGGGAGGGTGGGGGCGCTGAAGAGCCTCCCTCAGCTATGTGCGCAGCCGACTGGAAGAGGGAGCCAGGCGAGGGCAGGCTTCAGGGCAGAACAGCGACGGCACACAGGGCGGGGTTTGCTCATAAAATAGCCCGAGCATCGCAGGGATCCGGTTCGAGCTTAATTAAGTTCTGGTGAATTAACTGGAATTGAAGAGTTGGATCAGCACGCGTCGGGACGCGCCAGGCCGGGTGGGTGGAGCTCAGCGCTGGGCTGACACCTGGAGAAACGTGACGCTCCAGGAAGAGGCCGCTGCGCCCGGCGCTGGACACTCAGCCTTCTGGCCTGGGAAGCAGCCGCCTCATCCAGGAAGTGCCGACCACAACTCTGCACGCTAAGGTTGGACCCCTGCCCCTGGAGTATGGGGGTCAGCTGTTAGGGGGACGTGAACTGATGATACCTGGGAGTTACTCTGAAATGCGCCCAAGAATCAACAAGGAAGCTACTGGGGATGGCTAGGAATGCAGATGGAAGATGACACTAAGTCTCCTGGCTGACTCCAAGTGGCAGCTCTGTGGGTCCCTCACACCATCCTCTGACTCTCCGTTTTAAAACAGGGGCCGGTGCTGCGGCATGGCGGGGCGGGCAACACCCACACCGCCGCTTCCCTGATGGTTCCAGCCCGCCTGCTCCACCTCCCATCCGGCTCTCTGCTGTGGCCTGGGAGAGCAGTGGAAGATGGTCCAGGTGCTTGGGCCCCTGAGCCTGCGTGGGAGACCTGGAGGAGGCTCCTGGGTCCTGGCTTTGGCCTGGCCCAGCCCTGGCCAGCCATTGCGGCCATCTGGGGAGGGACCCGGTGGATGGAAGACCTCTCTCTCTGTCTCGCCCTGTCTCTCTGTAACTCTGCCTTTAAAACACATAATAATAATAATAATAATAAAATAGCTTTTAAAAAATCTAAATTAAAATGCCGCAAAGAGCCAAACTGACAGCCCAAGTATCCAGGGTTCAACACACAGCCCCAGGAGACCCCGCCTCTCAGAGCAAATGACCCCGCCCCCTGCCTGTCAGCATCTGGATTGGCGAGGGCTATTAATAGCACTTACGTCACAGGCTGTCCTGAGTGACCCAACAAGAACGCGCGGTGCCCGATGGGTACCCGACAGGCATCCGGCTGCGCACGCAGAGGCCGCACACCCCTCCAAGGCCACGCAGCGCGGAGCCCCACGGCCCCTCCACCCAGCCCACTGGCCCTTCGGCCGGGCTCACCCGAGAGAATGAAGAAGATTCCGGAAACGAAGGCCAGGATGGTTCTCTGAGGGCGGATGTGGCCGATGTTGCTGATGACGAAGGCGGTGAACACGAGGAAGAGGCTGACCATGGGGAAGGGGGTGGCTGTGCGCACCGTCTCTGCGGGAGGGACAGCGACAGGCTGCGGTGAGGAGCGAGGGCTCCCCGGGCCTCCGCCCCGACCCCACCCCGTCTGCCTCCACCCACTTCTCCGGGCACGCCCACGGCAGGCCCCGCCCACCGCCAGCCCCGCCCCTTCCGGTTCTCTGCCGTCTTCCCAGCAGGCGCTCAAGGCCTAGCCCTGCCCCTCCTCCTGACTCCACCTATTTCTCCGGCCACGTCCAGAGCAGGCCCCGCCCCTTCCGTTCTCTCTGTCGCCTTCCCAGCCAGCCCTGAGGCCTAGTCCTGCTCCTTCTCCTGACTCCACCCACTTCTCCAGGCACACCCATGGCAAGCCCCACCCACTACCAGACCCCGCCCGCGGTGGCCCCGCCCCTTCCGGTTCTCTCTGCCGTCTTCCAGGCCGTTCCTCACGGCCTATTCCTGCCCCTTCTCCTGACCCCACCCATTTCTCTGGGCGTGCCCACAGCAGGCCCCGCCCCACTGTGACTGCGCCCCTTCCGGTTCTCTCGGACTAGTCCTGCCCCTTCTCCCGCCTAGGCCCCCCGCTTCCCCTCACTCAGAATATTCTCCGTGTTTTCCGTCACCAAGTTGATCTCTGGTTCAAGGAAATATTCGGAAGCCACACAGCGACCCTTCTCTCGACCTGGGAGGGACAAACAGGCAGAGTGGATGCCAGGCCTCTGAGCCCCAGGATGGACAGTGGGGTTTAGGGGGGCCTAGTTTAGTCGGTTCCAGTCCCGGCTGCTCCACTTCCGATCCAGCTCCCTACTGATGCACTTGGGAAAGCAGCAGCGGACGGCCCAAGTGCTTGGGCCCTGTACCCACATGGGAGACCCAGACGAGGCTCCTGGCCCCGTTGGCCCTTGCGGCCATGTGGTAAATGAAGCAGCGGATAGAAGGTCTCCCTCCCTCCCTCCCTCTAACTTTGCCTTTCAAATAAATAAACACATCTTAAATAAAAAAGAGGGCAAGACCTAGGGGGAGGAGGCAGTGGCTCTTTCCTCCTGCCCAGCTGGAACTGTCCAGAGGACGGTGCTGAACCCAGACACACAGTCTAAGGAGCTCTCCAAGGCTGGGGGTGGGGAAGATCAGCAACCTGGATTTGTCTGGGCACCGGGCTCCTAGACCAGAGAAGTGTGTTTCCAGCAGCAGTAACGGGGTCAGTTTCCAGATTTCTGGGTCTGAGGAGTGGGACTAGAGACAAGCGCCCTTTGGCCCCCCGGGCAGGACAGGGACAGGTGCTGGACGGTGGGTAAGGGCTGTACCTGCAAAGAAGCAGACTCGCCAGAGCCCGGCGTGCAGCGCCATCTTGACCTCAGTGGTCTGGTTCTGTGGCAGCACCGTCCCCTCCTCCATGTACAGCCAGTAGTCAGTGCTGACCGCGATGCCCACCAGGAGCAGGCCACAGGCACCAAACACGCTGCTCAGCAGGGTCAGGGCGCGGCTGCTGCAGTGGCTCATCCTCAGTGGCGGGGGGCGCCCTGCGGGGCCTGCAAGGCCAGAGGCTGTAGTGAAGAGCCCAGGGCACCGATCAGGGTCCCAGGCCCATGTGGCAATCCTGGGCATTGGACCCTGGCCAGAGGCACCAGCCCCAAAAGAAACTGTCTGCCGTCTGACCTCTGTGGTCTTAATGCATGACACCAGTCCTGGAATCGGAGCAGAGACACGTCATGAGTGGGCTTCCAGCTCTGACGCCGGGCCCCCAAACCCAGAACAAGGTTCCCAACTCGAACTGTCGGCTCAGCACCAGAGATGGAATCTTGACTCCAGCCATCTATCTGCCTGTGCCCCAGGTCCCAAATACCACGACTCTGACTGGGAAGTCCAATTCCATGTTCCCAGCCCCCAAACCTCCAACCTCATGCCGTGACCCGAGGGCTTAGCCTTGGCAATGCCACCCCCCCAGCCTGAGTCCTGAGCCTGGGCCAGTGACTCCGAAACTGTCACGCATATCAATGACTTCAGCACCCCAGCCCTGATCCTGCCCTGATCCCACTGTGCCGCAGCTGTGAGTTACCAGACTCCAACAAGGGCCGGAAAACAAATCTGGGCCAGGACCCAGATCCCAGGGGAATGGGGTGCTGAACAGTGGGACATGTCCACCCGGTCCTTCCTCCCTGCCCCGACACCTTTCCTTTAGCCCCTGTCTCTGAGCTGCGCCCAGCAGTCCCCAAAGTGGGTCACTGACCCAGGATCCCCAATTCCTGACCCCTAACCTTAGAAGCTGGAGCCCAAGCTTACCTAAGACTTTAAGGTACCTTTAAACTCTGGGGCTCTTACCTCGGCCCTGCCGATTTCTAATCCACAGAGACAAGAACCGGACTCGCGACTTTTGAACTCTGACCCTGGGCCTTGACCTCAATTTGGTGCCCCAGCCCGAGGTCAAGGCTCACAGCCCAGATCCAAGATTCCAAGATCCTGATTCCACCTGCCATGACCCGGAACATGGGGACCCACAGACAAGGAGCCGGGACCTTGACCTAAGGTCAAACCCAAGAGCTGGGAGCCTCCAAACCAGCATTCCATCCAGGGCACCCCAAAGAAACAAGCAGTCCATCCTCTAAAGTCTAAAAATCCCAATCAGGAATTCCAAGGCCCCCAACTCCGGAGAGCCACATGACCCACCAGTTCTCCCGCCGGATCTCCCATGACCTCCTTCAGTACCCCTCTGGGAACCTGGACCTCCCCCCAACGCTGGGGGCCTCTCAGATCACCACCAGCGATTGCAACTAGGGCGTGAGTGTGGAAATCCCGGCTCCACAGCCCTCATTCCCCTCCCCCAGCAGAAACTTTCGGCAAGCCGCACACCAGCCTGGGACGTGGGTAGCTCCCCCAGGGACCCGGACAGCTCTGAACCCCAGGCGTCCTTTCAACCGCCAAGTTGCAGGCCCCCTAACCGCTCCCCGGACAAAGCAACCCATCCAGACGTAGAGACCCACCTGCCCGAGCCAGACGCGCAGCCCTGGGAGCTCCGCCCCTCAGGAAAGACCCCCACCACTCATCGCAGCGCTCCCGGCATCTCCCAATCCCCCCACCCGACGCCCGTCCCCTGAAGGAGGCAGGCACAGTCCCGGCCGGTGCTGCCTCCCATCCCCCGCCAGCTGCCGGCTCGGAGCCCCGTCCTCTCCGCCAGAGTCGAGCCTGCTAAAGCCCGTCGTCCCGGCCGCCTTCTCCAGGTAGCTGACCTCGGCTCCCCGCCCGCCCTCGGACTCCGGATGGGACCCGGCCCGAGCTCGCCCTACATGTCCCATCTCCTGCCACTCCGCTCTGGCCCGTCCTCCTCTGGGACCCTCCCCGCGCCTGGCGCCTCCTTCTCGCCCTTCCTTATCGCGGTCTCTTCTGGATTCAGACACCAGGGTCCCCAAGCCGCCTTCTTAAAACCCCAAGTTCAAACTACATCTTGGGGGAGACGTGACTCCCCCCTGTCCTGCGGAGCCCCCTCCCCAGACTCCCACCCCGGCCTTCCCGCCCGGGCTCTCCACCTTCGCCCCGGGTCTCTCTCCTTCCTCCGGGACCCTGCCCTGCCCTCCCCAGTGCCGAGGGCCTGGGAGACTCGGACCCTGGAGTGCGGAGCCCGCGTGCCGGGACCCTGGGACCCGTCCTCCGGCATCACCAGGCCCCACTGTCCCTCCATCCCCCCACGGCCTCGCGCGTCTGGGCCTCTTGGCCACCAAGAGCCCACCCCTGGAGCCCCTCGGGCCCCTTCTTGTCCCAGGCCCCACTCACAGCCACCCCGAGGGGCGTCCCCCTTCCTCCCAGGACCCTCCCCTCCGCGCTCACCTCGCTCAGGGCTGGGCGGACGCTCCGGGCCACGGGCCCCGCAGCCGCATGACCGGCCCCGCGGCTTCCCCCGGCCGCCGCCGCCGCCGCCACCGGGGTCGCCTGTGCCCGCGCCCCCCGCCCCCGCCCCGGAGCCCGGCGTACCGGCCCCCTCCCGGCCTCCCACCCCCCACCCCCCGCGCCCGCGGCCTCACTCGGCGGACGCAGCCGGGAGCGGGGACCGGCGGTCGCTCATTGGCTGCTGCGGAGGAGGGGAGGGGCGGGGAGGGAGGGGGCTGCGGGGAGGGAGGGCGCCGGGCCCGGAGGGTGGGGGAGGCGGGGAGCCCGAGAGGGGCAGGGGCGCCGAGAGGCGAGCGGAGGGAGTCGCGCAGCCCGCGGACCCGGGGACGCGGCAGGCGGAGGCAGAGACGGGGACAGAGGTGGGGTTACGACCCCCCACCACCGCTCAGAGATTCGGGGCCCCGCAAGTGGAGAGGTCAGAGAGCCGGACGGACGCTCGGAGGCCTGGGGCTGCCGGACGCCGAGATGCGGAGACCCTGGGCCGGGGGGGAGGGGGCAGAGGCCGAGAGAGACAGAGACCCCGAGAAGGGGCGGCAGCAGGGCCAAGCCTGGGGTCCCCCGGGGGAGCGCTGGGGCTCTAGCCAGGCCCGGGGCGGAGCAGGCGGGAGGGGGCGCGTCCCGGGCCGGGCCGGGGTCCCCGGAGCAGCGGGCGGGCGCAGAGCAGAGCCGGGTCCTGCAGCCGCCGCGGAGCCGGGAGCCGGGCCAGCCCCCCACCCCGCCGTGATGTCAGCGGGGCCACTCTTAAAGGGGCAGCCGCCCGCCGAGGGTCGGGGCGGGGGCGGGGTCCTGGGGGCGAGGGACCTGGGGCGAAGGGGGACAGCGGCGGTGATGCGCGGGACGGAGCAGCTTCAGCACCCAACAGGACGGGGCTGGAGCACCCGGGAGCCTGAAGAGGGGAAGGGACGCTGGGGCCCGCGAGGGAGCCTGCGAAGCTCGGGGCTGCATCCCCGCCAAGCGCACCGACACCCGCGCCCCGCTCCGCCTGCCTGCCCCGGCCCGGGACTACGTTTCCCATCAGCCCTGGTGGCCGGGGCCCGCTCTCGGGGGGCAGGGTCCACCGCGATGTCTCTTGGGAGATGTAGTCCGCCTGCTCTGCCCGCTCCACCGCGGACCGGGGCGCGTGAGACCTCCGGCTGCCTCGGTCGCCAGTGCTCGGGCCCTTTCGATTTCCCTCTCGTGGGGTCTCCGCCTCCCACCAGGTCTCCCAAGAGAAAGCCCCTCTCGTCTCCCCCGAGGGGACTTCGCCCCAGACTACCGGTTGAAGGCGCGCACGTCCTGCCCCCGTGCCACCCCTCGCGCTCCCAGCTCGCAAGGAAACACTCAGCACTTGAGCATCAGCACCCCACGTTTATTGTCCAGCAGCTGTGGCCGAGCGGGAGGCACCGGGCAGGGCAGGGCAGGGCAGGAGGTTCCGATTCCGAGGCGGACTTGGAGCCATGCACCGGCAGACGGGTAGGTGAGCAGGGGAGGGTTTGGGACGGCGGAGTCGGGAGCGCATTGGGAGGACGCCTCCTCCGTGCGTCCCCGGAGGCCACGCGGCGCGGGAGGGCCGCGCTGGAGCTGGCCGGGGGGGCGGGCCTCGGGGGAGCGGCTCGCGGTGGAGCCCGCGTCTGGCACAGCCAACCCCACGAGACGGTGCGCGGGCGCGGGAGGGGCGGGGAACGGCCAAGACGCGGCCTGGGACGCCGGGGGTTGGGGCGCAGTGCTGAATGCAGGGGCGAGAGCGGCTCGACGCCGCAAGACCTAGAGCGCGGCGAGGCCCTGGCGGCTGCACGCGGCGGCGGCGGTGGCCCGGGCCGCTCGGGAGGGGGGAGGCCGGCGCGCCGCGGCGCCGCGTCTGGCGTGGGGAGGGGGCGGTGTGGCGGCGGAGGGGCGCTTGCGCCACCTGGCGGCTGCAGGTGGCATTACATGACGGGCACGGGCACGGGGCTGCTGGGGCTGCGGGCGTCCGGGTGCACGAAGTCGGGGTTCACGTAGGTGAAGCCCTGGAAGTCCGCCTGGTCGATGCTGGCCAGGACCAGGCGGTCTGGGGGCGTCAGCGCCGGCGCCGCCCGCGTGAAGAACTTGTCGAAGTTCTCGCCGCTGCGGCCGCACTGTGGGAGACGCAGCACGGGCAGGTGAGTGCGGCCCGGTCCCACCGCACCCCGCTGCCGACTCACGCAGAGCTCCCCACGCCCCGTCGAGGTCTCCAGAGCGCCCTCGGCACAAGGAACCGCGCCCACTGGGCAGCCCGCCCCCTGGCACCGGGGTCACGCGGCGGGAGGGTGGCTGACCGGGCGGGGTCTGAACGGTGGCGCGATCTCCAGCCGCTCCAGCCGCTCCCAGTCGATCCAGCGGAAGAAGCCGTGTGCACGGATGGTGGGCTCCCCGTCGGGCCCGGAGCCCAGGCGCTTCCCAGGGTGCTTGGTCAGGAACTGTGGGAGACACAGAGACAGACGGACGGACGGACAGAGCCCCCGACAGGGAGACCCAGAGCAAGCGAGGAGCACAGGCACGGGGTGGGGGGCACACAGATGGGGGTGGGGAGCAGAGATTGGAGATCCAGATAGAAGAAGGAAAGGCGATTCAGAGAGGAGAGGGCAGAGACCCAGAGGACGGGGGGGGGGGGGGGGGAGGCCCAGAGAGCGTGTGTGAGGGGAGGGGCAGGAAGGGAGCAGAGGGTGGGGTGACACAGAGGTGCAGACACACAGGAGGCCCCATCACGTGCACACAGAGGCAGAGGGATGAGACAGCCCAGAGAGAGACCGTCAGGAGGCGTGGGACAGGAGCAGCCTGCTGCTAGCACGTGTTGGAGACCCGCCGTGGGCCAGGCCCTCTGTCCTGCCTTAAACTGCACAAGCCCGGTGGGACTGAAGCTGGCAGGGTGCAGGAGAGGGGGGAGCCGCGGGGCTCATGTACCCGGCCCGCCCAGGGCTGCCCAGGGCCGAGGCCGGCCGGGGAGCTGGCGTGGCTGCGGGGCAGAGAACGTTCTAACGGGACTTGGGCTGTGTTGGTTTTCCCGGCAGGCGGGAGCAGAGCGCTGGAGCTGCAGGCTCCCAGCAGCAGTGGGTGCGAGGCTGTGGAAGCAGGGTCCCCGGGGGGCTCTTACCCCCTTGCAGATGGCCACGGCCTCCCGGGACAGCGACTTGGGGTAGGTGACGGTCTGCTCCATGATGGCCTGGAACAGCTCCTCCTCATCCTCCCCGTCGAAGGGAGGCTAGAACGCAGCAGGGATAAAGGCCAGAGGCCTTTCGGGGACAGCCACACGCACACCCCTCCCCACTGCACTGCCCAGGCCGTATCTTTCTCCCTGTCTCCTACGCCTCCCCTGTCTTGACTGCATGCCTCTGTATCTGCCGGGTGATCAGCGGGGTGTTAATGAGGCAGTCTGTCCTATAACGAGAAGGGAGAAGGCCTCTCCCAGGCCGATGGGCGGCTCCGGGCTCCCGGGTTAGCAACAGCAGGCCTTGGGGCCAGGCTTCTGAGTATGAGTGTGGAGCGCCTGGGAGCCCTGAGCTATGGGAGTGTGGGACAGGTGCATCTTTCCTCTTTAAACCTCTAACTGAGCGTTGGCACTCCCCACTTCGTCACGGACGGGAACCAGACCCAAGGCTGCCGACAGCTCGGGCTGTGGGCACTGCTGTGGCAGCAGCGCTGCTGGCCGCCCCGATCTGCTTCCTGTCCGTCCACTCAGCGTGAGGATGGCACACGCGTCCCACCTCACTGCTCCACACTTAGGCAAAGGC